GTCTCAATATCCTAATAACGCACTGCAGCTCCAATACAACCTGCCATGCCAACGAGTGGAGCCAAGTCCTCTCGCCAGCAAATTCTTTGGGAAGCGGCGGTTCAAGCTCACCGGGCGGCCGCGCGTGGTTCACCCCCTCCTCCGTTCAAACGGCGCTGACCGGCCAGACAGCACACGTCAACCTGCCAAAAGTCCCATGACACATGGGCGGTCCGTGGACAGTGCTCATCCTACACCCCCCCCCCCCCCCTTCGCCTTTCCACAAAAGCACCCTCATTGGTTCTCTCATCTTCTGTCATATCCCTTGACTGCCGGCAAGGCAATGTGCCCCGGGCTTCCGGGAACACGAACGAGCTTCATAACGATCAAAGCTCTCGCCCACTTCCGAACAAGTCCTGCCAGTCCAATGCGGGCAGAAGGCTTCTTCCGTCCAGTCAGGACGATCAGTCCATTCCGTCAACTCCCTTTTTCGTCCCACCCACTCAGCGAGGAAGGAGGAGGAAGAGGAGGGGGGAAGGGGCCAGGATTTCTGATGTCCCAGAAGCAAGGAAACACGCCAGCGTGCATCCATTACGGCTATCGCCGTCGCCGACACAACACGGCAGCAGGAGCTGCAGCCTTGGCCTGCAGCCTAGGTTCACCAGGTGAATGCTGCGCGCGTTGATCTCGGTGAAGCCAATGCGAATACTAGTTTGACCCATGTCAAAACAGAATAGACCATCGCGCGCGCGTCCCCTCGTGTCATCGGCGACGGAGAGAGGAGAAACTTCTTGGGTAAAATTGCCTGCTCGAAGCTGAGGCCTTCGCCACGAGAAACAACAAGATGCTACCACACGGGCTCGCAAGGAACCGGACGCTCCTGTCACTCTCCTCCAAGCAAAGCTCACACTAAAACCATGCCCACAAACGAGAACAGAAGCTGCCACATTACGCTCATACAGGCCACAGCCTAGCCAAACGCACAGAAAGTACCTTCAAGTTGGCATCCACCCCCACAGCCGCCACGGCAGTCGGAATTGCCGGCACCAAGAAACAAGCCACCGGATAGGGCACTGCACCACCGATCCGCCATCCCTGGCCGATCAAAAAACAGATTCAACAAGGGGCGAACCGCGTTCTAGAAGGGGCTCTCGCCTCGCCTTGTGTGGTCGTTGTCACAAGCCAGGCAGCTGGCTCCCTTGGGCCTTAGGGAAAAGGGGGGCTCGACACGCGACAGCCCTGCAAAGCACAGCCCTAAACTAAAAAGGTTAAAGGGGCCAGCGGCGCGGATGTCTACTTGCGAACTCCCCGGGGGTCTAAAATGCTGGCGCCACCCCGCGCTGTCAGACGGAATCAGGCCATTTCACTTGTTCCTGCGTGGCGCGCCCATCGGCACCTGCGCGTCATGATCCAGTCGTCCCCGCCCCTCACGATGCGCGCCTAGTGCTGGTCACACATGAGAACACAATAGGGCCGACACGCAAGATACTCAAAGACGTGAGACATGGACAACCAACAAGCGAATTATACGCTCTCGTCTCGTGTTCCTGACTAAAGCTAGGTGCCTCGCGCTGTTTCCAATCCTTGCTCTGTGTGGCGTAACGGTTGGGGCCAAGAGCCGTTCGCCAACTTTGCGTATGGCCCGGCAGGCAAGAGACGCCTCTTGAACCAAAACCTCGGCCATTGCTCTCGTCAAAGCGTCTCTGCATCCTCCTGCCCGACCGTCACGGGCCCGGAGACCCGAAGTGTGTCTTCTTACCCCTCCACCCCCGCCTCGGTCAGCCCATCCGCATCTACAAGGGGCCGAGGATGGGCCGGTGCTGTGAAATCCGCAACTCCAACAGAGTGTTCCGCACATAGTATAGAAAGCAAAAAGAAAGATCAAACCAGTTCGCAAGGGAAAAAGTATGGTGTGTAACGTTTGTCAAACTCCGTTGTCTCCATTCACTACCCATTTCAACAAAGGGGGTTGGTGATCGGATCGAAGTGCCCAAAAATGGAGAAAATCCGAGACCAGGATATATACGGGTGGGCGCGAAGAATAAGTTTTGAGGTTGGGGAGGGGGGGCGACAGAAGCGTGGATCTTCAGGAACGAAGGACAGTTCGTCGCCTGAGCCCCCAGAAATGGCTCGAGTGATCAAGGAATGAATTTGAAGTGAAGTACCGCATCTCCAGATGAAATCTAGCGTGAAGGTTGGCAACCGGTGGTACTCGTGAACGAAGTGACAGAATTAAAGAGGCCCTTGAGGGTAGGCACTGCCAGGTATCATGCCAGCGCCGGGACCCCTGTTGGTGTTGGCGCTACGAGCCCCAGGCAGCTGAAAGTCGGGGTTGTTGTTAAGAAGCACGTCTTGCTGCCGGGGTTGAGGCGCCCGTCGAGGCATGGGCTGGCCGCCGTAGCCAGGCATTGGTGGAGGCGGGTTCCAGCGGGGGTTCACACTCCTCTGGGAGATGGACGTAAAGTTGGAGCGATCAGACTCAGCGCCGGGGCTACGCGCACGAGCGCCACGCTCTTGGCGAGGGGGGTAGTCATAGGTGTCGGATGGCGGCGGGTTGGGCTGCATGGGCGGTGGCTGGGCAGCTGCCGCCGGCGGCGTCGACGACGCGAAGCGCGGGTCAATGTCTTCGTAGTAGTTGTTGGTCTGCGCAGCTGCTTGTTGTGGCGAGTTGCGCCCAACAAGCTCTGCTGGCTGGGAACCACCTAGCGGCGACGGCACGCTCGGTGAGTTCCTTCCTTGGCCCTGTGCCCAGACTTGGCGTGGCGGCATGTATTGCCTAAGGAGGAAATGTTAGAACCATCGTTTGAGTAGAAGGGTATTGCGCACGACTTACTCGTCCGAACTGTACTTGCTGCCCTCGCTCATATACGTATCATGGCGGCGGTTGGACGAGTCTTGTACTCCCTGCTGTAGGCCTACCATGCCAGCGATGTCTGCGTCGCTCTCACGAAGCCCACCGAAAGATCCATACCCCTGCGGGGCATGAGCAGGACTGCCAGAGACTGCATCCATCTCGACCGCCTGCCCGACCACGCCACGAGGTTCGTCGCTGGGCAAGGGTGGCGGCGACTCGGCGCGCGGCAAGCTCGATCTGTCGGGGTTGTAGGCCTCATAACTGCCGGGCAAAGAGGGGTTGGTGCTGTTGTTGACGCTATAATTGGTCGCAGCCTCGTCAGGGCGCCCTCCGTAAGGCACGGCATAGGCATTATGAGGACTCTGTTGTCTCTCATAGGGGCCTGGCCCGTTCTGGTAACCAGGGGTGGATCGCCCGGACATCATGGCCCCGCCGGCCATGGCACCCGCAGCGACGTAGCCGCCCCGCGAAGGCCCGTACCCCCCACCTCTGGCATTCGGCGGAGGACCGTAACCTCCTCGACCACGAGGGCCGTAACCCCCCCTTCCGCCCATCGGCGGGGGGCCGCCATAGCCGCCTCGGCCGCCGCCGTAGCCACCCCTGCCGCGGTATCCACCAGGGGGCATGCCTCCACGACCCCTCGAGTTCATGCGGTCGAACTGTCGGTTGCTGTCGGATGGCCCTCTGCGCATGCCATAAAGCGTCCTGCTGCGGCGCGTTGATGGGGTTACCATATTGGTCGCGTTCAGGGCGAGGCACAGAGCCAGCTCGCGACGCCGGGGCGGTACTGCTGTATGTGTTCACATCTGAGGTGGGGTTGCTCGGGGTCCTCTCAATGGGACTGCGGTTGGTGAGAGGGATGCGCTCATCGCTAACCTGGTCGTCTTTCTTCTGGTCCCCAAAGGTTGCAAATGCGGGCAAGTTGTCGACCCCACCGTTGCCGCCGCTCAGGACTGGCATGCTGGGTTGTGATGCGGTAGAGATGGCGGCCTTGGACTGCGCCTCGCGGTTGAAGTAGTTTTCTCCGCTCATTTCCGCGTTGTCGGCAATCTTAGCCTTCCTGGCCTTCCTGCTGATCAATGTGCGACGCATGGCACAGGAAACGAGGCCGCTGAGGCCGACCATGATGGTAGCAGCGAGGACAATGTAGGAGCCCCAGGCGAGATGGGGGATGAAAATCAAGACATCAACCAGGAAAGCCAGCAGGCACACCAGGAAGGTGATGGTCGAGAAGATGAAGACGACGAGGAGATAGCGAGACGAATGGGACGGCGAGTGAAGGTGAGCAACAGCGGCGAGGATGAAAAGAATAAGCGTCAGCAGCGCAGCGACGGGATGAACGATCAGAATAGCCGTCAGGCTGTTGCGAGTGCCTTCGGGAAGGTCAAAGTCATTGGCGCGTCCCCCAAGCCCATCTGCGCCGAGTCAGTGTTCAGTCGTCTCACACGGAACCGCATCAATGCCGCGGTAACGGTTGGGGGTGCACTCACTAAGATCGTAGCCAACCTGGATGGAGGAGCAAGCGCCGCGGTTGCAGTACCCGAGGACGCCATAGTCGACGCCGGCGAAGCTACCGAGGGGTATCGCCGTGATAATGGGAGCCGAGAGCACGGAGAGCAGCAGGAGGGCGAATGCCGCAAAAAGCAGCACCGACAGAGGTGTCGCCGGTCGCAGCATTTTATTGTTGAGTCGTCGGCCTGTCGGCAGAAGATGCCTGTGATATCAGGAGAGTGATGGTGGGAAGCGCCAGCGTCGTCAAGACGCGGCGAGAGAAAAAGGTCGTCGACGGCCCGGTTGAGGTTTGTGATGGATGATTGGGAAGCGAGACAAAGTGCGCGCACGCGGTTGAGCACCGAGTATTACGGAGTGGACAGGTTGGATCAGTCGCAGCGAGGAGACGTCGGGAGCATTGTCGAACTGCACAACGGAAAGGATTCGTGGTGTTGAGGTCGTCGGGGCGTTGGGAGGTCCAGCGTTGTCGTCGTCGTCGTTGTCGTGCGTCGTAGTGTACACCTTTCTTGTTCTACCCAACAGCCTTTGAGTCCTTCCTTCCTTCTGTTTTACGCTGGCGTCACTAGGACTCTGATGCGGTTTAGGTGGTGTGTCGGATAATGGAGAGGACGCAATTAAGAGAGTCGACACGAGCGAGTGGCGCGTTGTTCGTCGTGCAAAATCACCCCAAGGAAGGCGGTCGAGGTTCGAGAAGGAAACGGAAACGAGTGAATGGAAGGACTGAGGTAAACCGCCACAAGCCTGGTGGTGGTTTGGGTAAGGTAGACTTTGGTGGTGGTGTGGGAGATCAGGAAAGTGGCCGCTGGTGCTGGTGCGCACTGAGGGACGAGGGACGGAGAGGAGCAAGTTGAGTCTGGTTGGGACGCCTGGTTGGAAGGGGGGGGGGGGGGGGACGCTGTGGCTCCCCCTGCGCCCGCTCCTGCCCTTTGCCTACTACAACCCAAGCCTCCGCCCCAAGTCGCAATTGCCAGGTCGCAGGGAGCCTGCCCGCCGTAGGAAGGAGCACCGCCGGAGCAGTACCTTCGTGGCGCAGGCGCAGGAAAGCAGTCGCGGGCCTGAAGGGGGGGTGTGGGGCATTTGCAGGCCGCAGGCTAAGGTACTAGCGACTGTTCACTCCACCACACGCCTTCACTTGCAGCACCAGGAAGGTGGAATTGCGGGAGAATTTTAGGGTGCTTGGGTGGCAGAAGCCAACAGCCTGCCAGGGGCCTTGCCTTGGTTGCTTTTCCTCCACTCCCATCAGACAGGGTTTCCAAGCAGACGAGGCAAGACCAGCACCCACAACACCGGCGTGCTGCCCACCTTGCCCGCATCATTTGGAGATAAGGTGGCTCGGAGATTTGATCCTCGCCATGTTTCTCTCACTCGCGGCAAGGTCGGAAAGTTGGTCGAGAAGACGCACCCCGTCTGGTGTACTGCAAGGATGCATACAGCAGCAGAATGCAGCAGCAGGAGCAGCAGCAGTAGCAGCAGCAGTAGCAGCAGAAGCACCGTCGACGTGGCTCAAATGATAAACAAGAAGATGCGATGCGGGCTGCCATGTTTCCCCTCTACTGCTACTGTTGCATCTGCCTTCCTTGCCCATGCCTTTCGAAATCGGCTCGGAACCCGCATGCGCCCCCTTCGTCGAAAAGAGGGCACAGCCAATGACCACCGCTGCTTGGCTTCCAGGCCTCGTATCCACTCGGAAGCCCTTTGAACACTGCATACCTCTGAGACTAAAAAAGGTACCTACTGACACCTCATTGCCATGGCGAGTCTTGACAATGCGATCTTTTGAGCCCCTCCCGCCTGCGCTGGAACCCGCCACACTCACTGGCTGCTCCTTTGAACCTCCTATGAACTGGACAATGCTTTGACTACTCATGCGCTACCAAAGCTAGCCTAGATGTTCTCCGCACCCAAGTGCTTCGCCTTGGCCTGGAATGGCGATAGCGCCATGTTTGTCTGGAGCCACGAGGGCGCCGAAGGCCAGACTAAAACAGGCACGCAAGGCACGGTACCTGAACCTTCACTGCACTGGAGCATGTTTTAAGAACTTATTGGAGCTGGCTCCGTCAGTTGCTGGTGCTGGGACCGATGTGTTTTTGGGACCCCCAGACGTTTGATGCTCCCAAGAGCCGCTAGGGACCTTGCTGCGTCCGAAATCGCTTCCGTTCTGAAGGGATGGTCGATTGTTCGTTCCTGCCCTGCTCGAGCGTGCTTCCTCTCTGTTGATGCAAGGAAGCTGGGTCGGTCATTCCTGCTCCGGCTGTGGGTTCTCCTTTCCCACGCTTCAAGGGCCAAGATTGAATGTGGGGGGGGGGGGCTACAACCTCCCCAAACGTGCCAATTGACACGCGTCCATCAAGCTCACTCTCCCGCGACTTTTTTTGTTGCCTATTGATGTGCCGCTTTCACACCCTGGTCGATTCCTTGCCGTCACCTCCTTGGGAGAAAACTTGCAACATGGTCATGTCCGCTGATTGGCATGATCTCATTCTTCCATTACCTCATCGACAGGCCGCCTTTTACACGATTTTCCAGCGTGACTCGAAGCCTCTATGCTGCGCCGAAACTCGACACGACGAGAGCCTCAACCACCTATGCTTCTTCCCTTGTCGGACTCCAGGCCCCTGGACTGCTTGTGAAGCAGACATCCCGGCTGCTTCATCTGGACTCTCGCCTGCCCCGCAGATCATCCATGTGGGCAGATACCGTATCAGCCGGCCCCGTCAACCTGTCAAGCTTTGTCTGTGCTCCGACACATGCCTATGCGAGATATGCCGAGACCAGCCTCAGTCAGCTACGGACGTATTGTCCTCCTCCGCCGGGTTTCGAAGTCAATTTGCTCATGAGCATGGCTCGATTCGATCGGGTCGACAGGCAGTGGTGAAGCTGGGACTGCCTTTCTGTTTCCCCTCCTGTTCAAATCTTAGTTTTTCTCCCATTCCATCAAGTGAACAAGAACAAGTACCCTTGGCGAAGGCCTGCCCTGCCATCTCCGTCCAATCTAGCCCAATCACCACGTCATCGCCGACCTCAAACAGCGGAGCACGGCTCGATGCTGCGACGCGGCGCCTCCCGCACGTCTCAGAATTTCCGAGTCCGAGACCGCCCTGCTTCATCCCGCTGCTCTCGCTGCCAGGCCACAGGCGCTCGCAGCTCGCAGTCTGGCATTTGCCTCCGACATGATGCTGTGCGGCCTCTTGGCGGCGATGCGCGTTGTGGTTGGCTGGGGCCGTGATCTGGATGCCGCTGCCTCGTTACCGGGTACCCAATGGGCCTTGCCTCGAGAGTCGGACGTAAGGTCTTGATGTTGGAACATACTTTCGATATGACGATCCCACTCGATAGCCTGTCTGCATGTTGTCTGCTTCGCGTTTTTGACCACGTGGGCGCGGGCCTCAGGGAAAAATAAAGCACGCTGTCGAGGGACTCGAAATCTTCTTTCTCTGTCAGCCTGGAGTGGTACGTGCCAAGACCCGCTGTGCGACTTTCAACTTCGGTTTTCCAGCACGAATCCTCAGGTGTTCGACTCGATGATTGATCAGACTTCTGATATCCTGGAATGCTTGATTTCATGGATCAAGACCCTGGTTACGGGAAGTCGGTGCACAAATCCGTTATAACTGCGATTGATCATCTCAGAGATAAAACCCGCAAGACCAAAACCACTGCATTTGGTCTACGTAACACATGTCCAAAAAGAGAAAAAAAAGAAAAACGCACAACATGTCGGATAGGCCTGAAGCTCGAAACTTTTGACCTACCTATACTTTGTGTCCCGGGTCGCGTGAAGCTGCTGCTGTCAATCCGGAGACGCAGCAGACTATGTACGGCATGTTTATCTTTCAGGTCAGGTATCATGCCATGTATTGCGTTCTGTTCAAAATCTCCTTTGAAAAAGCTATTTCTTCAAGAGACACCTTTGACAACACCAGTTTGATTGCCATGGGGTCGACAAGACGAGGAGTTGTTGTGGGATAGTGCAGCTTTGATCCGCTGAGATGCGAGGTTATCCACGTGCTGCATGGCAACACCGGCTTCTAATGTATGACAGCATCATGGAAAATCCACAAGTTCGCAAGAGCGTAAAACGGCCTATTGAGCTCACGGCTCAGGCTGATAACACGCGAGGAGCCTCAGTCATGTCGTCCATCCTCAAGCCACCGTGCAAAGGACTATCTCCGGCGCCTGTCGGTCAA